TGTAGGTGAGGATGAGTGTTTAATAATGCAAAACACATCCAGGTGTCACCAAAAAAAGTTCAAGAGCGAGTGTTTACAAATGCATGAGAAAGACAAGCTCACCTGTGGCGGGGCAGTGGTGGGTGGGGGTGGTGGAGGGGGGCCGGGTGGGGGCGGCGGGGGTGGAGGTGGGGCTGGCATGCCTGTAAGCTGCAGATACCTGAGAGGGAATAAAGCCACATGGTGAATTGCATCATGGACGGTTCAGGTTCGAGCTGCTGCCGTGCGACGCGTCACATTCGACGACCTCCTGCCCTGTTTCCTGAACAGGAAGGGCCACGCAGCACAAAACAGGAAACAGAAAGCCCTCCATCCTCTCCACAGAAATCTGACACAAACCTCCACCCCCTTCTATCTCTTCTTCCCACAATGCTTTGTGCCAGAACCTTGTCTGGAACAATGAGCAGTGTTGTTCGCAAAGTAATGGACCCTCACACTTTAGCGCTTCTGTGACGACGGGCCTTCAGCGCAGACGGAAAACACACTGAGGAAGGTCCAGAGGAAGACCAACACATTGTTGTTGCTTGTCCTGCTTCTAATGAACGTACAGCGTTGTTACAGTCAGGATGTATTCTTATCAGAACGTCACAGCAGATTTCCAGGAACAGCTCTCATCCAAGATTGAGTTACCGGTCATGGTCCTGAAAACATTAAGCTCACCAGTCACCATGATACTGTCTTGAAAAGTTCATGTTTAAGGACTGAAATCAGCCAATCAGGTCGAGCACATTCATTTCTCTGTGGGACTTGAATGAATCTCCCTCTTGTGTGTGTAGCTCATGCTTCCTATGTCTGCAGTTGGCAGACCGTTCAGCGTTGCTATTTCTATCCTCCTATCTGTGTCAAGCAGTTTGGCTCTTTGAGGGTTCAAAACAAGAAACAAGTCAGCTGGAGGTTTGAAGACCAGTGGAGTGGAGTGTCCCTCGTCTTATTCCTACATGGGTTGTTTTGCTCCAAAAAGATCTTCTGCAACTATTGGAATTAGCTCATAAAACCTTAACATGGCTGCAAAAGCCAAGCAAAAGTTTTGCTCTCCCATCAGAGAGTAAAATGATGGTGCTTTATTCAACTTTTATCATTTGTTTCTACTGTGGGAACCGAAGCACATACTGTGAAACAACAGCTCAGGGAGCGATTGTTGCACACGAAGGAGAGAGGCAATAACAAAAAATGCAAACATCTGATAGGAGCAGGGGTCTGAACATTTTTTTTGTGAGTTAAGAGTCACTTCTGGGCCTTTTATGATTTTATTAGATTTGCAGTTCACACCATTCAGTGAACCTGAGCAACATTAACAGTCTCAGTGTTTGCACCCAGACATCTTGAGTATGGCTTTTCATAAACTTAGGGAACATATTTTACTCTTAAAAGCTAATTTTGGGGTTGACTTTTGAAGCAAAATGACTTTGCCTTCAAAATGCTGTAAATAAAAGTAAATTGAGTAAAACTGTACATGAAATATATTTATATTGCCATAAAAAAGTCATCAAATTACCTCAAGCTCACCAAAAGCAGTTCATACTTTGTTGCTGTAGTTGTAGAAGTCATACTAATCAAATAAAAGACCTTACCTTGGTAAAACACCAGGTTTCTCCCTTCTTGCAGGAAGCTTCAGTGCTGGGGAGCTGGGCTCATGGTGCGCTCCTCATAACGGACCAAAGTTATTTTGGTTGTCCACACATGGATATTTTGTTTAAAAGAGCTCTTGTGGAAAATTTAGAAAAAAAGGATCCACAACTTTTTCTTCCACGTCTTGTCTGTGTCTAGTGAGTTCTGGTGGAGTTGGTCCAGCTCAGAAGCTGCGGTTCAGCTCCGAGCGCGCGCAGCAGGAGGCGCACGGAACCAAACCCCTCCTCACAAACACATTGTGGACCAATGGAGAGAGTGGGGGCTCGGGTCAGCAACTTATTCACACACTGTGGATAAAAATTAACATCTGAACACAAAAAGTAGGTAAATTTAATACATTTCGCACGTTTTAGCCACTTTTTATCCATTCAGCTGTTTTTTTTAATGACCGGATGAAAGCACGTGACTGCCCCCCAGTGTTCAAACCACATCAAACAGCTCCTCCTCTCCCTCGGATGTACATTCATCCTCAAAGAATCCAGCTCCTGCTCAACCTGTTGCCCTTCCAATTACTAACACACAACAGTGGAGGGTGAAATTTAATAATCCTCTTGTGATTCCGTGGTTATATTCTGCCATAACCTTACACACACATACACACTCTCACACACACCTTTAAATGTACAGGAATGCTGTGACACAAGGTCCCTCCTATTACTGAAAGTACTTATATCAAGTACAGCAGACTGTGTACAAACACTTATGCATGTTCAAAATACACATTTTTTAACAAAGTAGCAGCCATTTTCACCAGACGGGAAAGGACACCATTTAGTTTGTTGCGACTTTTAATCGAACCGCTAAAGTTGTTCTGAAATTTTGCATGAATCTAGTCTATCTGAAGGTTTGTTGTGTTATTAGAACTGTATTGTTTCTTTTCTTTTCAAAAGCGACAAAGTTTTCCAAAGAGAAACGGAAAGAAAACTCGTTTCGAGACGATACAGAATGATTTAATGCAGTACGACAGGATACAAATATGATGCAATACAGTGATACGGCCTAATACAACAGGATACAAAAGTACAGAAACTGGACAGTGCAAGATTATATATTTCATATTCAAACTTGCTTTGTTTGATTTAGGACACGACAGGACAATAATGACACAGTCGTGGAGTCAGCTGTTGCAGATTTGTTTCTCATTTTACCTTCATGTAAGTCTTCGCAGGCGATACGAAACACAACTGCCCTAAAAGTCAAAACTTGGCTGTAGGTTAAGCAACACCTGAACGCCTCGTTCAGCTTTGAAAACATCCTTCAGTAGAGGCAGCTGTGCAAGAAGCCTTGTTAAAAACGTCTCATTAAATCCTTCATCGTAACATTTTCTGCTTTTTGCCGATAAGTATCGTGACTCAGACTAAAAGTCACCTTCTCTTATCCAGACACCTTCATAAATCCTTCTGACCCCTTCGAATCAACAACTTTGTAAAAACGTCACTGGAAAAAAAAAAAAAAAAAAGGATCATCCTTCACCATTAAACATATATTATTCTCAACATTTCCACATTATTCGTCACAGAAACACGGTAAACAGAAACAGTAGCTTGTGAAGTTTCCTAAGAGACAGTGGTGCTGGGTGATGGCGTTTGGAAAGTTAGCTGTCCCATCACTAAAACAAGGATGCTGTGGGATCAACTACACTGGATCCAAAAGTGCAAACATTTCAAACTACTCTCGCCCTTCAAGTGGAGCAATTTGCTTGCAAAAAAAAAAAAAAGACCATTATAAACAAAACCACTCGAGTTACTTATTATGTCTGTCACCCTCATGGACAAGTCCCTCATCAAATGTCCAACAATCTAGATAAATCTATCACGCCACGTAAAATTCAGCTTTGTGATAGAAAACGGTGATGCTCATCATCACTTCATCGTCACCAACATTTGTACAGTACGCCGACACGCCTCGTGAGAATGAAGCATCATTTCAATCTCCTTCTTGTCAAGAAAGCAGTCTCTTCATTGACAAGTTAGGGCGCCATCCACAGGAGTAGCGTCCTCTCTGTCCTTTTCCTCTATGTGGAGGGTCGAGCGCACCTTGCCCCTCAGTTTGAACCGACCTGAGCGCGACTCCCTCATGTTCCTGCGAAACGACTGCTCGTCGATCATTTCCTCTATCTGGTAGTCAAAGTCATTGATGTGGTTGGAGCCTTTGTTGGACTCGTGCTGAGAGCGGGCCGGGTTGCCAGAAGTCTTGGAGGCCGTAGAGTTTGGGTCTTTTTGCCTGTTTTTAGCCAAGGGGTCGTAGTCTGCGCCAACGGAGGGGTCTTTGGCACCTACGCCCTTTTTCTTGGGCAGGAAGGTTTTCCACCAAGGGGTCCTCTCAGTCATCTTGGACTAGTGGGAGGCTTCTGCAAAATGAACACATCAGACCAATTATTAATTTGTCGTTGTTGTGGGATGTTCATCACACATAAAGTAACCAGCTTTTCAAGCTACAAGGAGCCTGCTAAAGTAAAACAGGTTTAATTTTCTGTTCTTCATCATCATCACCACCATGAAACAATGCTCGGCGTGAACTGGCAACGTTTGAACACTTCGATTTCCAACAGATCGGGTGTATTTTAAATATCTTCGCTCTTAAGTGAGACAAAGTGAGAGCTTCTACCTCATGGAAAACCAGTGTAACCATATTTAGACGCTGAAAAACTGGTTTCATGAGTCGAGAGACGCGCAAAACGCCGTGTGAATCACGCCTCAACAACATGGACACAACAACAAACACTCACCTGGGCTGTGATAAAGTACTTTAAAAGACCCAAACCAGGGTGAAAAAGCCACGCTGTTTTGGTTGTGCCGAGATATTTCCAAATTGTTTAGTATTCGGGCTGATTGTCTTCTGTACTTGGACCTTCACTGCTTCAAAGCATCGCGGAAGACGTCTCCATTTACGCACGGGCCAGTTGCCTCGTCTTCTCCCACCCCTCACCAAAATGCGTATGTTTTTTTTTTTTTTTAAATGTCCCCTTCTAATAACAAGTCCCTTCTGGTCCAACAGCTCGTGCTTATAAAAGACTCGACGCGACACGTTTATAAGGGTCACCTCCTCTGAACCAACAAGTTTCCGCCTCCGAAACTCTCGCCTGGAAGCACCTGTCCTCCGCGCTGATTGGACGAACTGCCGGAGCGGGTCACGTGTGGCGCTCAGGTGCCACAGTGGGCGGGGTTTATGGTTGCACGGCAACGTGCCCCATGGGAACGTGAGCCTCCTCCGTGGCGGATAGACATAAAAGAATAATAATAATAAAAAGAGTCCTTTGTGTGAGCCCAACCCAACTCAGGGAGCCAAATTATGTTTATGCTGCTGCTCGTCATACAAAGGAGTGGAACAGGGTGAGGACCTTATTTATAATGGAGTTTCTGCAGCAGTGCATGGGTTCATTCCAGGCCACGCTGTTAAAATCATTTAATGACGCTCAGGATGGCAGAAATGAAGATGAGGTTCTCCTTACGAGTAATAAGGATGGATAAGATTAGGAATGAGATCATCAGAGGTACAGCACGAGACAAAGTTAGAGAGGCCAGACGAGATGGTCTGGACATGTCCAGAGGAGGGACAGTGGGTATATTGGTAGAAGGATGTTAGAAATGCAGCTGCCAGGACAAAGAGGAAGAGGAGATATATGGATGCAGTTAGAGAGGACATGGAGGTAGTTGGAGTGAGGACAGAGGATGCAGAGGACATAGATGGAGGAGGACTCGCTGTGGCGACCCCTGAAGAGGGAAAAGCCGAAAGAAGAAGATGAAGAAGGATGATACAGTTGTTATGTTGTGAAGAGAAGCAATCTGACCTGGAGACAGTGTTATCTGACATTCTGCTTCCCTCACTGTAAATTTCAGCTTTAGAGTCAGGTTTATTATTATTATTAATATGTTTTGTTTCTCCACTAATGGCCTAAAGTGAGCAGTGGTCCATGTCTGCAGCCATCTTTTGACTGATTTTTACTGCACCTTGGTGATGACAGTCAACATTTTCAATGTTCAAAACAAGTTTGAAAAGGCCCTCGTGTGATACAACAGCTCAAGAAGTGAGTTGTTTTTAGTCGTACTCACTAATTATTTTTCGAGTCACTAAACTTTAGCATACAAAAGTGATACATCTGTAAAACCTGTTTGACAGTTAGGCATTATTAAAGGACATTTAGTTTAATACACAATAAATCTCTTGTGCTGCAATTAGCTAATAAAAAAATCAATTTAATTATTTATACAAAAAAATAAACTTATATTTATCAGGAAATGTTGCACATGTATAACTTAAATTTAAAAAAAATGCTGATGCTTAGGCACCCATGTTACTATTCACCTGTTAATATTTAATTTCCGTCATGGCATTTGATTCACAATTCTCCCCCAGCTTTGAAAAATCCACACAAAAAACAAAACATCTATAGTTTAAAATGAGTGGCTTGATTGAAAACGATGTGCTTGAACTTGTGTATCAGTCCATATAAAAGGCAACTGAATTTAAAAAAAGTAAAATATTTGCACACCTATGGATGTTTGGCTAAATTAATGTGAAAACCCAGGAAGATCTAGAGCTCAGACTTCACAGCAGAAACATCATTCTGGGTTTATATGGGTCACACAAAGTTGGACTTTACATGACCTAACTGGTATTTTATGTTTTATCATTTTTACAGAATTATGGTTCAAGATTTCTGATTTTCTCAAGATTTTAACTTGGAGAATGATGATGTCACAATATTTTTGGAGTTGTCTAAATCTCTGCAAACAGACTCACAAACTTCACACTTTGTGCACAGTTTTTAAAATAGAACAAAAACAACGTTGTCCTCTCACGCGGTGCACCTCCCACTGCTGGAAGACTTCTGTTTTTCCTCTCAAATCCCCTCCAAGTGTAAATTGCCCATAACTTCTATTGACTTACATTATACCTGAGCTCAGAACGTTCTCTACAAAACATAAAGTGAAGAGTCTTTTATTAAACTTGCCATGTATTTTACATAAATCACTGTAGAAACATGCATATTTGCACACGTGGAAAACT